CAATCGGGCAAACTTTTTCTCGTAATGCATTCAGCGCGCGGCCCGACAATTCGAACTCTCATCAATTCATTCCGGTGTAAACCGGTTCGGACAAAAAACACGGGTTTTCGCTTTCATACGTTCACTTTGTTATATTTAGATTAACGCGTTGATTTATTTTAACGGGTGTGTAACGGCCGGCGTGGACATTTTCTTTTTTTTTATTCCCGCGTATTTTTGACAATGGTGGCCGAAAGAAGATCCGTACCGGTGCCATTTTTGCCGTCGTAAAATATCGCCACGTACGAACGTTCTCGCCGGATCGCGGATAACGTGAAATGTGACTCGTGTCAGCAGCTTTTTCGAGATCCGCTTCGACAACGCCTCCCCCACGAGGGGAAAAATAATCTCGTCGATTTACTCTTTTAATTAATCCGGCGCTCAATTTCATTTTTATCGGCCCCCGGGTATCGAGCTCTCGAGATCGTTTTAAAGTTTTTTAAAGTTTGATCGCATCGCATTTAAATCTGTTACGGTATCTTGGAATATTTTTATCAACGTTTCGATGATTCGTTAGAGATATTATAACTTGTCTGCACATTTTAATAACCGTAACGATACATATTTATTAAAAGAATCGTTCGGAAATCGTTCTGCATAATCAAAACTTTAAAAAAAAAAAAAAAAAGAAGTCTAAAAATCTTCGAATATTTTTCAATCACGCGTTAAAAATATTCCTTCGATTCAGAGTTTTGCTAATTCAGCGAAGTGGAGAAACAGTGGACGATAACAAGGAAAAGGGTCGTGGTTTCTCGCGCCATATGCACGGTCTACTTTTTAGCTCTGTTAACAGGCCGATTTATCCCCGGGAAAGCAATGACTACCGCAGTTTTTCGGGGTGCAAATCTAGTCGCGAGTCGAAATACGAATAGTTGGTTAGACGGAATGAGTCGATTTAGAAGGAGTTGGAAAGAGTTAGCGTGGCATTGTCGTTTTTCCCGAGGATGCTGAGGGAGGGGGTGTAGCGACACCAGGCTTCCTGGCGTTATTCCAACGGGCGGGGAAAACATTTAAAACAAAACCTGGTCGTCTCGAGCTATGTATTCATTATTATCAAAAAATATGATTGGTCGAGTATTATCCGCGCTGAGTCATATTTATTCGATTGTTGTCTTTCTAACGGTGATAGTAAGAATATACCAATGATCAGAGTTTATGATAGAAATATTTCAAATAATTTTATTTTCTATGAGTGAAGTGGCTGGTGAAAATATTCAAACGCTTGCTTTAAATCTGATAATGATAGAAATATGTCGGATTTAAGTTCTTTATTAATATATATATATATATATATATATATATATTTATACGACCATTGATATTTTTAAATTTCGAAATGAAAATTTCACTCGATGAGCACATTTCCACGTTCAACATTTTCGTTCGTTGGTATTTTCTTGACTAGCACGGGGCCCGATATATCACGATTTTGCGCTAACAAAATTTATTTCGCATCGAAAGGTGCACGTGCACAAGGGGCGTAAAAACAAAGTACGCGAGGCGCACTCGTAAAATCAAAATACGATCGTGCAGAATTTCAAGCGACTTTCCAGGAATTAATACGAACGTGCCGTTAAAGCGGCACAATTAAATTTCAGGAATAATTGATTAAATAAAACAGCGCGCGTATTAAATGAACCACGCGTAATGAAAATAAAAATGTTATCGCTATGATATCGTTTAACGCCAGCCCCGAAAAATTGTTGTCGTACATCGATTCTCGTAACAGGGAATTCCGATATTTAAACACAATTATCCGCGACAAATTAAATTATTTATATCGTTGAATATAATTTAATCGCTTTAAACTAATATTTCACGAATCAAATTATTCCTTTCATTTTTTAAAATTCACTCCTAATTGAATCGTGGATGTATGCTTTAAAAACACGACGTGCTTTCCACGGTTGGAAATATTTGCCCTCATTAACGAAAACGCCGAAAAACCGTACAACTTTTTTTTCCACTACGTGCTGAAAATTCATCTCCTCCAAATTTCGTGGCTCAATTCCAGCCTCGCATTCTGATTTCAATCTTTCTCTACCCTACCCACTCTCACACTCTTATAATCTCCCAATCGAATTCTTGCTTTTTACTTTCTCCTCCTTTCTATCTTTATCAATAATTGGCTGAAACGAGATCAACAACAGTTCATCAACAATGATTCAACCATAACCATTACGAAGAGACGATATATTTCCTTCATCTAGAGTATCGCTCAAAATATCCTCACATCCATTTCAATCCTTTCTCCTTCAGCCACATTTTCACCCCTCTTCTCATAATCCCCTTCCATCCTAGCCTAGCCGTCCTACGAACGGATGCCAACGAGGACGAAACTCGTCCTTCCTCGACGTGGTGGACACGGAAGTTTTGGCGGGCGCGAGAGAAAAAAGGTGAAATCCCGTGGAAAAGGCGGTAGGAGAGAAAACTGTTGTACCGACGGAGGGGATCGGCTCGGCGATTCGGTCAAGTACAGTTTAGCGAGAGTTAACGAGCAAGGTTGAACGCTCACGCGAAATAGGCTGGCGCAATAGGGGAGGGTTCCGTGGCTGAAATTCACCGGGGATTTTCCGCCTTTAATGCCGCCACACGGATGTAATTTCTCCGCTCAAACGAATTTTTACGGGGGGAGGGGGACCGATGCATCATCGGTGTTTAAAACGTTCGACCGAACGTTAATGCGATTCGCGATTCGTATTGGTTGTTTAATCGCACTCTTCCTCTTTCTTTCTCCGCTGAGTTGAGAGATTTTGTGGATGGAGAGTTTTGGTGGATCGAGAAGGGATTGTTAGAAAGGATTCGATGGCTAGAAGAACGAGTTTTTCTGTGGAATAGATGCCGTACCGGAAGAAATATCGTTTATGATAAATCGATTATTCATAATTTATTCATATAAATATATATCGTTTTTCTCCTTCTAAAGTTATAGGATTAATCTCTTAAAACACTTTTGTTTACGCACGTACATATAAATAAAATGTAAATAATCAAATTCACCGAATGAATTTAATTATCGAGATTAAATTGCCATTGATAAATTCAATTAAAACTGAGAATATCGAGATTAATTATCTAAATTAACAGGTTAATAAACGCCCTTAATTAGCGGAAATTTCATTACGTTTCGTTCAATTTCAATTTATATTCGCACGCGTGAAAGTGTATCGCGAAACGGAATTCAATTTCTTGAACGTTCCGTTTATAATGTAATATTTATAGACAGGGAGAAATAATCACGGATAACAATTCCGCGCCAATTCGACAGGGGTCGAAAAAAAAAGAAGCGAGGCAATCTCGAAGATTTCGTGGTGAGGGGGGGGGGGGGGAGGAATAACGCTTGAAGATTTAACGAGGAAATCGAAGGGAAAATAAAACAGGGGAGGGAAAATAATTAAAGTCGACGAATGTGGAGGGGGGAGATGGAAGAAGCAGGATGTCGACGGTGAGAAACGTGTAACAACTCGGTCCATCTAAGATCACTAGTTTACTACGAAAACGAGGAACAGTGATTCGGGTCCGACGTTTCCCCTCGGCGCGGGAATAGATTGGTTCCGAGTTGTTGCAAATCTATACCTGGAGAGATCGATGAATTAAGTATCAATCTTATTCCAGATGGGGAGGGGGAGGGAAGATGTTAGATAAGACAGAGAAAGGTGATTTAGTCCGGTTGATCCTTCGATTCCTTAAATTACGGCACGGCCAACGAACGTGATAAATTCGGGATTTCCTTGTGCGAATGCAACACGCTGCTGCATTGCGGTAATTTCACGTTTTTCTTTTTTTTTTTTTTTTAAGAAATAAGAAATAACGATAGATAATTGATCGATTGTACGATCGCTTTTGATCATTTCTCAATGGATTTGTTATGCAGAAAAAAAATGTTAATTTTTCGATTCGAGAAACCTTGTTTTCGAAAGCTTGAAAATTTAAGCGAAATCAATTTCAAATTCATTGAACGCTTCATCATCAGATAGGATTATTCTTCTCGTTTGAGAACAAGTAAAATGATATGAAATAATTTTTTTTTTAAATTATTTAAAAATTACTTTATGGATAGAGTCGAAGTTTGAAAATTCATCGATAATACGTGACTGGTTCAATTTTAATTTTCTGAAAAACAGAAATTTATGTGACGAAGTTTTATTCTATATTTTTTGTTATTTTTTCATATAGAATAATCTCTCGTATAGATAGCTCATTCGTATTCAATCGAGAATTAACCAATTTCATTTGTGCTTGAAAAATTTTCAAATTTGATTTATTCGAAAACAAAGCCTCGAATTTTATTCTTTTTTTTGTTTTATCGTTACATATGAAATCTCTCTATAATCGGTTGCGCGTACGATACCGTGTGCTTTATATTTTATTTCGTTAAAAAAAGAATATTTTTGAATGAATTATTTTTATTAATCGTTAACAATTTAAGTATAAAAATTTTATTATTTGATTATTTCCAATTATTTCGATTACACGATTTATACTTTTGTAATTATTTTATGGAAATTTTAATCCGATAGTGCAAATTAAAATTGTCGCGAATCGAATTAAAAATTTTAATTAAATTTGAATTAGGGTGTGTAAAATTTTTAAAAATGAAGAAACGAATTGAATAATATTAATAAACATGTACATATAATAAATTCCATTACGCGTGCTTCGATTAAAATAGCATAAATTGAAATTTGCATTTCTCATTGTATCATTATAAAATCTACTAAAGTTCACGTAGCAATCCCATTACTTAGCAATATCGGAAATATTGGGAATCCATTTGAAAGCAGACCAATTGAACAGACTCAGTGACTTTGATCATATTGTTAAAATCTTTTTCTCATTATAACTTTCGTAGCTTATATCCGGATATATAAAATAAAACCGATCGTTTGAGCCATGTACAAAGGAACACGTCTAAAAAAAAAGAAAAGAAGAAAAAAACTCAATTTGTATCGTATATCGTAGTAACGTTTATTTCGCGATAATGCTTTCTTCTTTCATTCTATTGGCAGTCTGTCAATTCGTTGCATCACCGTAAAGAAATAAATGAATTTTATGCCATTTATTTTCATTCATTTCACTTATTAGAGATACGAGATATCGAGAAATAATTATTATAAATCATTTTATTCGATTTATTAAGTTTTAAAACTGATTCCCTCCTTTTCTAAATTCGATATTTGTTCTAACTTTCATTCGAATCTCTTTTCGATAAAAAGAGACGATAGTTTCGAGATATAACGTGTCATCGATGATGCTTTTTTCCGATATAATATGATCCTAGACACTGAATTAGTTTTAGAAAATCTTACGTGTCTTCTTCGAACTCTTTTCTCGTAACAACTTCCAAGAACGGATAAAACAAATTCCACTTCTAAAATACCGGCGTTACTTACTCTACACGACTAGAATATACAATCCGCTAACGGTATTCTGGCGGTCATCGTTCCCTGAAGATGGATCTACGTTCTAAAACTGAAAATGGTATCCTACTTAGAATTCGTAGAATTGTCAAGTGTACACTATGTATACTTATATATAAAATTTAATCGATGCTGCATAAATCTAAAATTAAAAACACGATCGCTTCAAATTTTGTACATTATCAAAAAATTTTTATTAACCTGAATTTCGTTCAAAATTTCATTCACCTTCTAAATTGTCGATATTTTCGAAATTCAAAAGAATAACACGATTTTCTATTGCTTAGGAAACCGAAATAAAAATCCTTGTAATAAATCCTTGTAATAATAAATTTTTCACTTCGTGTCTACAAGTATCAAAGTAACAAAGAGTAACAATCTTTTAATTGACATTTTTATCGACAAACAATTAAGATCCTAATGCATGCAATTTACAAACTATTTATCGATCTTCACGACTGTTCGAAATCAAATAATCAAATCTTCGAGATTTTCGTGTTACGTACTTAAGCTTACCTCGAGTCGAGTTGGCGAATTAATAATAGATTGATCGGAAACGGAGGAAAATATTACTTTCACGAACCGAGTTAAAACCGGAGTAATTAAAGCGGCTTGTGTCATTGTTTTGATTAGAAACGTTCGTGCATATTAATATTTAGCGACGTGCCGGTTATAAATTCAACGCCCAATCGATAAAGTAATTCCGGCTGCGATTCAATCGCAACTTTAATTGAAATCAGATCGTCGTAATTGGATAAATTAAACGTTGATTAATGCGTGTATCGTGACTAACGATCGCGATTTGTGAAATTTGCGTTACTTAATATCGGTATATATATTATAACAGACTGTTCCAGACGAAAATTGATGAACTTTGAACCCGTGCTCGAAATATCTCAACAAAAAAATATTATATATATATATATATATTATTTCTTGATACACGAATTGATTACCCCAAAAAATCTCAAGAGAAAAATCTATTGAAAGGATCATGCATAGATTCATCTCTTTTTATCCATCGATCATGAAGAGTCTTATTATTAACAATTTGTTGAATAATATAATCTTCCTCAAGTTATATAACATAGTAAAAGTAATAACGTTTGCAACACTACTTTTCTTTATTCTCGCGCGTGCATAAATTTCGCTGTAATTGCGTAAAAACTTCGTACGAATCCGTTTGTTTATTCGAAAGGGGGTTGTTCAACGAGGCCAGCATCGTTATCCCATAATCGTTATTTCTTAGGAAGGTGGAAAGAGATCCAGAAATAAAGAGTAAACGGTCCATTAACGCGTGAGTAACAACATTTCCCGTTCATCGGATTTTCACCTCTCCGCGAGCAGATTGCGGCGGAAACGAGTGGCCGAGGCTTAAGGCTATGGGCGCTTCTGTTTTCCATCTGCCAGCTCTCCTTAATCGCAGCCAGCCATAACAGTATCGTAAATGGTGGATACGTGTAGACGAAGGCTCGATTTTGCCGCGATCGGGATTTTCGCCGATCCCCTAATTCCTCGTTCGATTACACAGTCTGCGGCGTGTTAGCTTCGAAAGACATCGAATCGAGATTAAAAACGGGTAGCATGAAGGGTTAACGCTCGGCTCGATTCGTGGAAAAACGCCGGACCAAGATCTCAATGTTATAATTTAAATGAATATTGTATATGCTATTGTATATTCGCGCAGTGGAAAACGATCGAAGAAGTATAAATCGTATAATATGTGCGCGATATTAAATACGAATATTATAACTATATAATATACACTTTTGATTCTTACTTATATACTGGATCGAGACCGATAAATTTTCCTACTTTTATTAGCCGATAATATCAACGATTCTTCCCTTTCTTTTAAACACGCGCGATTTCATCCGCAATAATTTCAATAGATCCTACGAATACCTAAAGATGAAAAGATTACCTAACCTCTTTCCTCTGACGAAAAAAATCGACCAATTGTCGCGAAGATACCGAAAAAAAAAAAAAAAGAAAAGAAGAAAAGCCGGCAAACAGACGCGTCAGCGTGGCAGGCATAAGCCGACACTTTATTACATTAATTCAATTTAAACTTCCGGAAAGTGCGTAGACAGAGCGTTGCAGGAACTTTATACTACCCCGTCGTATAAAGTTCTGGGGAAGCTTTTATCGCGGAAAGGGATTCCGAGAAGGAGAGGGAGGAATGTGCTTCTTCTCGTATACGTTCACGCACGCTGGTAGAACGCTGGCAAGTTTTTAATTTTTACACCGACGTCGCCTCCTCTATCGTCTCGTCACCCCCCCACCCCTCCCTCCCCGTCGTTTATGAACTTGCGCCGGTGCCGAGTGACTTTTTGTGTCGCGAGCTTCCACGGGCTGCTGCAATATTAACAAATTTTCCGCGGAAATTCGTCCCCGATGTGCGATTTCTGCGAGATCAGCCGGGGACGGAAGAAACGGCGAGGGCGGCCGAAAGAGGAAGAGAGAGAGAGAGAGAAAGGAGAAGGGAGGGAGGGAGAGGGAGCGTGAAACGGAGGCATTGAGGAAAAGTTGGGCGTCGATACCGGGCCAAGCATCCCGAGGCGGGTTGAAACTTTTAACGCGTCTCTCGAACTCGGTGGAGGAAGAGGAAAGGCGATGGCCGGGCAGAAATCGAGTTTCCGGGGATGTTTCGCTCCCTCTTTTTCCTAGCGCCTCCGTCTCGCTAGGAAATCAGTCATATTTCATGACATTTTCTTTCCACGGCCGAAAAACGTCGTCCCCTTCTCCTCGTCGCCGGGAGAAGCCCTGAAGCCCTTTTAGCCCTGAAATATCAAATGAAAAGACGTTAAGGAGGGATATTTGAGATATTTAGATATTTCGCTCCCGTTGATTTTCAACTGGCTACTGCGAAAGCTCGGCGAAACAGTTAACGAGACGTGTTAATAATTTTTCGAAAGTGTAAGACGTGTTTTGAGGTGTAACCTCGAGATTGGTAAGAAAATGTAAAAAGGATTCGAGATGAATTGTTCAGGGATTGGAGCAAATTACGCTCGATTCTTCGGGTAATCAATGATGACGATACAAAGTGCGTTACACTTCTCTCTCAATTTCGAAGGTGTAAGTTTATGGAAAGGAATAGTTGGTTGGAGAGAGGAAGATAACACTACGATACGACGAATCGTTGATATAACACGTAAAAGTTCTTCTAATGAAAATTATTAATAATTACTTTAATGTACATAACTTGTATATAATTATATTTAATATCCTACGTTCGTGATTGTGACACGATATAATAGAAAGCTTGCGAAAGAGCGATCCATATAACTCTATATAATTTTTATTAACTTCTTTTTTAATTCGCCAATGTTATTACTTATTAAATTATCGCGGAAAAGGGACGGAAAAGCTGGAGCCTGCTTACGCATTCCGCTCGACCGAAAATCAGCTCTCAAAATTCAATTTGCCACATCAAAAACAACGCCAAAAGGGGGATAAGCGACCGTTCCTATCTCATTACCATAAACGATCCAACGGAAGAGCCGCACATGCCGAAACACAACCGTGCACACACACACATACACGCACGCACATATACAGAAACAAATTTTACCTTATTAATTCGGCAGCTGCTTCAAAATTCAATTTCAAAATTCCATTCCCACGCCGCAGCCACCTCGTATCGCACTTTTTAAGCCTCGAGTTCGAAGAAACAGCTTGCAAGTCGGCCACGAGCACCGATCCATTCCAAGAGACGAGGTGGAAAATTAACCCAGAGATCAAGATGGTGGATGGAGACGTCAAGGGGCATCGCAATTCTGATACGCGAGGAAAGCCCCTAACCTGATGTTGTCCGCGCCCCAGCCATCGTGTAACTGTCGTTGCTGATAGCGGCGTTGTTACCGTTCCCACAATTTCCAACGTGTTTCACGGTCGAAGCGACGCGCTGTGTTTCTCCATCCCGGGGTTAAGCCGTCCTTTGACTGAGGCTCCGTTAATAGTTCGACCGTGTATCGTTATGATCTCATCATCCGCCCCTCCGCGTCGCTTCGTGTTTACTAGTCGCCTTGTTGCTCGAACTATAACGATATAATTACGTTATTTCGTCGTACGTTCGTGGTTTCGAGGATGACTCATTACTTTTCCTCGAACGCGACATGGAGCAATATTTTTCTTTGTGTACAGCTGTGTTTTTTCTCCTTGACAAAGCAAAATTTTAAATTGCCAGATGTTTAGAATTCCATTTAGATTAAGAGGTAACGAGGAAATTTTGCTGCCGGAAAATTTAATTCAATTGGAAACGAAGGTAAATTGAATCGTTTTATCATGTATAAAGTATCGAGTTATAAACTAATTATCCTCACTTTGTTTGTTAGATGCTGAACGTTTCCATTGATTATAACTCTTAGATTAATCATGAGTTTAACAATCTTTCGTATTAACATCTGTCGTTAATTACAATATAGATTTATTAAAAATTCTTCGAGCAGTCTTCATCTTTAATGATGTGACAATTGTGTTGCCAGAAATATTCAAATTAATTTTAATAATTATAGATCAGACTGTTCCACAAGATACGTTTTCAGCACACGTTTAAGCACTTAGTTTTAATTACTCGTAATAAATAATTTCATCAATAACTACCATTTCATTAATAAGAATATCAATCGAACGAGAAAAGTCTTTCGCAATTCTTCGAATAGTTTTTTAATATTAAATATTGGGATAGTTTGGAAAGCTAAATCGAAGCTTGGCATTTCGTTGTTTGGGATGCAGTTGAGCGTGGAATTTATTGATTGGGAAATTATACCGTGATTTATAATGATAGGAAAATTCCATATCGGTACCGATAACGCTTTAATTAAACTACTTTATATCTTTATATTTTCAAACTTTTGCATGTAATTAATCATTCTCCTATTGAAATGTTAAATTTTCCTCCATTTATTTTCCGACCAATTTATCAGAATAAATCAAAGGAAATTTTTAAATATAAGAATACAATTAATTTCCTTCCTACTATTTTTCAATAATATCACATTTATACATAAAATAATAATAACAATGTAAAAAAATTATTTCAGATTTATTACAATAATTTTGAAATGCAATGTATTTAATTATTAATCATATCGGAAATATGTTTCATTTATTTCAAATATTATTCCAACACTTTTGAATATGCTCGTTTTTGAGATAAATTGGAAAAATTACAAGAAAACTTTTATATCGACCGTATATCGACCATTACACTATTATATGATTTTATTATATTCAATATATTCGTAATTTATTTACATTCACAGTTCAATTCATCTAAATATGTATAATTCTATTCTTACATTTTCTTTATTAGTGTAAATTTTGACAAACGATACAGCCACAAGAACTTCAATAAATCGTAAACAATTAATAATCGCATGTTTCAAACGGCAGTTATATATATATATATAACTTTCAAGACTTGCAGTATAACTCCAATTAAATTAACGCTTCAATTTCCCAAGCTACCAAAATAACAATTTCGAGCAGGTGTGCTAAAATGTTCAATATCGTAACACATTAATATCTCCGATTATATAACCGCATTTCGAAGAAGAACGATTCATTATGCCCAGCTCTTTTAGGACAAAAGTTAATGGAACTTTGGTGGTATAAGTTAAATCCTCCGATATATAACTCTCAATCGTTAAAATAAAATCATATATTCGTATAAATTAACGTGCTAAGATTATCATTTTTCCAAAAAAAAAAGTACTTTCATTTACAACTATACACTATAACAGAGAAAGAAATGAGAAATTCAGGTAAACCTGACATATTACAACCTGATATTACATCTTTTCTATCAAAATCAGATTGGAACTACGTTACATCACAGATGCATGGTTGCAGTGCGCGAAACGAAAGCGAAAGTCCGGAACGAATATCTCGAGGCTTTATGGCTCTTCCATTTCCGGCGGCTACCGAAACTATAACGATTCTTCAGGATCCGGTCGAGATGTTTTATTTGATCTCCTTCTCCTTTCCGTTCTTTGTTCTCGCATCGATCGGCGACGCGAGCAGGAAATATAGGTATAAATCGGGCGCGTAAGCGAGCGACGGGCATGGAAATTGCGTTTCCTGCGCGGGGATCGGCCAACGGTTTAATTACCAGTCTCGATATATTCCTAGATATCGCGAAATCGGAATGGGATAGAGGCGGGGGTGTCGTGTTCCTGCACATTCGTTATCCTTCGTTATTCGATATTTATTGTAAATAATGAACGTTTATTTCCTCGTCGAGCACTTTATTATTTATCCTTGCACACGAGTTACGTTTTTATCTTGCGTGAAAAAGATATATTTGCTTTTCATTTTCAATTTTTGATTTAGATCGTTGGGTGTCAGCTCGAATGGAAGATACGATGTAGCCTTTTTCCATTTTCAAGGAATAATCAAATTTATTTAGTTCGGTTATTTCAAAATTGTAGACGTTTTCTTATATTTATATTTGGATAGCAAGATATTTAAATATTAGGATGTTGGAAATATCGAAGATTTGGATGTTGGATGTTCTATTATTGTATAACGAGTCTTTTTATTTCTGTGTAGTTTTTACGATTTGAGTTAACTCGTCCATATTGTCTTATATCTATCTTATTTCTATACTTCTTATTTCCACAGATATTCTTGAAATATGTCATGAATGAAAATGATTTTTCTGTAATCAAGAAGTAGAAGAGATAATGCTTGTATAATACATGGGCTTGCCTTTAAATACTGTTAAAGCAAAATGTTCTTTATCTTCTAAAGCATTTCTCCCATCTGACATTTAATGCTGTAACTCATGCATGAGATACTAAGAAGAACTGCTTTCAGAATTATTAAAATACAAGATTCAACGTCAGATATGTTAAAGTTTTCTTTATAAATAGTTGTAATTGAAAATTGGCTTAACTATTTCTGCTTTTCGAAAGAATTATTTCCACATGAAATTCGAAAATCAAAAGATCAAATATAAAAGATTATACTTATTTTTATATTACCGACTTTTCTTATTACGCATGTTATATCTGTAAATCACATCAATCACATCAACACTCGCCACGATTTTACGATCTTCGAGCATTAAAATAAATTGATATGATATCATCAGTTTCACAAATTGTTATGATTAAGATTCTCGATATACAAGAAAACTGTATATAAACATCACCTGTTCAGATAACGCAATTTTCGGTTAATAATAATAGAATTGATACGAACCGATACGTTTTTTACGACCGGTTCTTACTTCTCGTTTGAAATTTATTCTCGTCGAAATAAAATTGTAAAAAAGAATGGAAATTGTAAAAAATGGCGAAAGAACGGGAACAGGATCGAATAACAGGAAAAGCAATAATACGTCGCGGTTCGATGTACGTACGTTCGTCAAGAATCAATTATCGTGTGTGCACCGATAAGATGCACGGCTGTGTATCGAGTACCCGTGGAAATTGCGTTTTCATACAGACCGATCGACCGATGGTTTAATTATCGGGCCAGCTATTTCCCTCCCCTCTCCTCCGCCACCAACACCGGTTAGCAGACGATATGAAATGGGTTGAGAGGACGGTGTAACGTGGCAATGAGTGACCCCCCCTCGCTTCCTTGCAAATTTAATATCCGCTCGTGAATATTTATCACGGGATACATAAAAATTCACTTTAACGAAGATTCTTCAAAGTTTCAAAGATGGGGACGGTCCTGCAGCATTCGTTTCGATGCTGGATCCTTGGTCGTCAGTCCTCTTTGCGTATCAAGTGATTCGTTGTATGTCGCTTTATATGTCGAGACTTTGTAATTTCTTTATACCATCGACACAATAGGCAAATTGATGGCATTGGAAATGTATCGAGCCCTAGCATCGTTATGCGCACGTAGCACGACAAAGGGAATTCAAATATTAGTTCGCGAAATATTGGTTCACTCTATAAATCCTTTTAAAACTATCTACTATCTCTCGATACAAAAGGACGAGAATGTTCTTTGTAGCGTTTCAAATGCAAGCATAAAAAAGACAGAAAGGGTATGGATAAAAATATTGAAAGTGATTAACTAACTCTCTAATATTTGCAGGAAATAATAACTTTCGAAAACTCTGACGTGCTCCTTCTTAAAATTTCTAAGATAATCAAATCGATCTTTGATCCTCTCGCATAAATTAATATTACATCAATCATCACCCAATTCTCAATCGTAACGTAACAAATGTTCCAAACACACCTGTTTGTAACGAAAACGTCGATGATGAATCCCTTATGGAGGAGGGATTTTTCCTTCTCGAAAGTCGAGAGTGCAGCAACGAACTTTGATTGTATATCGCGCAATGCCTTCCATGACGATGTTCGAGTCGTAGTAACAATGGTAAGCAGCGACAATCTGAGCTTGAAGCGGCTTGTTAACGCCGATGAACGTACGTTCCTGCCACGAGAATCCGGCACGGAGGAGGCCACCAATTAGCTACGTAAATCTTCACGCTTTCGGATATCCGGGGATCGCGCGTTAAAGCTGTTGCAATTAGCGGTGCCAATTAAAAACGGAAATGCCACCTCCGGATGCGTTGTTGCACGCGTTAAAATCCGAGGAGGAACGGAAGAGGAACGGAAATATCGTGCGTTGCGCGATGAAAACTTCGGTCAATTGTCAGTTGGCGGTTCGGTTGAAACGATCCGCCTCGTTGCAATTATCGCAATTATCGCGGCGATTTGCCTACAGAATGAGGAGAGGGATTTCTCGCGCGTTTATCCAATTTTCAGATTTCGCATAATACATGTGTGTTTTTGCTGTTTGTCGAATTTGGTAATAAATGTAATATCCGGTTTGATTTCATATATATACATTGTATAAATTGTACGATTGTTTGAAAAATTAAGTTTATAACGATTACACAAGCGAAAAAGAATTTGCCGAATTTGTATCAATTAATTGATGATTTCAAGGAATGTAACTTTATTTCCTTTTTTTTTTAAATTTATAGATTTTTATATTATATTAACATGAACATTTAAATTAATAACAATCTAAGATGAGAAAATTAATTTAATAACGTTGAAACGTATTAAGAAATCATGTTAAACCTGTATTTTATTTAAATGATTGAATAATTGAATAGAATAGATCCAAAATGAAAATAGATAGCTTTGTAGCAACTGATATATTACAGGGAGGAAAGATATATCGTACAATTGTACAGACAGGTTTGCTTTGAATTGCTATATCGATTAAAATTTATTTGTTCGCGAGAGGAAAACTAAATTTTCGTTTCACCGTGTTTTTAATTTGCTTGGAAAAAACACATATGTTAATTTCACAGTTTGGTAAATCAACGTTATTTTGTGTTTTAAAAAGCTTTCCAGATACGAGATATGTAAATATCCGTTTTACATTGAATTTTTTATTCTTTTTTTTTTTTTTTTTCTAGACGCATCGAACGCATTAAATGTACAAACAGAATCGATATCAAATTATAGCAAACTATCACCAACATGGAAAATAACATCATTGACAAGGTAAAAGAATATTCAATTCACGTTCATGATATATGTAAATAGAATATCGACAAACCAACTGCATTCCAATAGCATTTGGTAATCTAACGAACGAATTATTTACCAAATTAAATTCTTACTTTTATTTTTTGTATAACTTATAAATAACACAAATATTTAAACAAATTTACGAGAAACTTGATATTTTTAGTTAAAAATCAATGCTATTCAATTTAATTTAAAAATAAAAGATTTAGTATCTATATAGAAATCGATCTAACAATCGTATTATATTTATTATTGCATCCAAGTATATTAAATTATTGTTATTTTATTATACTTTTATATATATACTAAAATTTGATACTATAGAAATAAAATATTAAATACGACGAAGAAACATTTCATTAGAAAATAAGAATGTAAATTTTCAACATTTCACCATTGTAGAAACTGAAAAAATTTTAAATAATACTGCCGGTATCGATGTTAAATTTCTCCTCGCCATCAAAGGAAATCCAACTTTCTCTGGCAAACGATAAAGACGGTAGATTCGATTTAATCACGAGGACACGATCTTCGTGCATCGTAAAATCTATTCCTCTACTAAAGAAGGATTTCGAGAGCGGCGAATAAGTAGAAGTCGTGTCGCAATAACCTCTCACATAGACCTTTTAATCCGTTTCTCAAACGATTTGTTTTACGACTTTTACGGAGTAAGAATCGTTTAATATATAAACATGCCTCGTAATTCAATATAATATAATATACAAGAAAACTACGCACGAACATGGCTCATCGTGGTCACTTAAGTCAAGTTGAATATCGATTGAAACTAATGGATACGTTATTTTCTAATTTCAAACGTAAATGAACGAAGATCTGATTTCAAGAATATAAAATTCTACTGTAATATCGTTTCATATTAAACGATTTGAC